CGGTCAGGGCCTCCGCGCTGCCCGCGGGGGCGGGCGGCGCCTCGGGCTGCCCGGACGAGTTGTAACGTGCACCTGGGGCGGGCAGAGAGCGAGTACGCCGCTGCCCGAAGGCGCTAACGCAGAGAAACCCGCTCCTGCAGCGTGCGCGATCGCAAGAAGCGGAGTTCGGAAATACTCGAGTTATTGTAGGAACTTCACGCGGAGTGAAATTGCTTTGAGAAGGAGCAGCAGCCCTGAGCAAGGCTCGGAAGGGGCTTTGGAGACGGGAAGAAGCCGCCCCGGGTCAGTCCGTTCCCCGGGGAGCAGAGGCAGGCCCCTCTCCTCTGCCTGTGCACAGACGAGGGGCGCGAGCCGTTTCACAGCTCGGCAGGCCTCCGGCGCTGCAGAGGGCCGCCAGCGGCCCTTCCCGTGAACCCTGCCCCCGAAATCTCCTCGTGCTCCAAGCGTTGTGCGGAGCTTCGGGCTCCCCTCCGCTCCCTCCCAGCGCCTCTAGCCAACAGAGCGGTTGCTTGCATCTCCCCCCTTTTCTCTGCTTTAGTCCCCGTGATCCGTGCGGCCTTACTGACTGCAGCCAACCCGCAATGAAGCGGTTGTGGAGGCGAGAACCAGACGTTGCCAGAAGAGCGTACGTGTATTCGCAAAGAGAATGGATGTGTGTGCAATAAACAAAGAGGAGCACTGCGGGAAGGCGCACAATCATACTGTGACCTGGTGGAAATCTGCTCTGGTGTGCCGTGTTCAGCAGCAGGCAGTCTGGACCACGAACAGAAGTATTAGTGCGTTTCTGTACAGCGAGTAGTGTCTCTCATGCTTCAGTGTGCCTGGGGTGAACCAGCTATATGAAGAATATTTGCAAAGATAAGAATAACTTCGGAGAGGTACAAGAAGATTAATCTGCTGCTTTGTATTCATTCCATGGCTTCGGGAGCCAGAAAACCTGGAAGCTGAGTTCAGAGACAAGTTTAGATATTGAGTTCTTAGTGCACATTTTGCCCGGCAGACTTCTAATACCCAAGAACAGATATATTTTGTTTTGGTGCAGGTCTCACCACTGAGGAAATAAAGATGTTTCTCCTTCTTGTCTGGATATTGCTTTTTATTTGTCAGGTTACTCCTTCTAATCGGAGTCTGCGTACCACATGGATTTCCAGAAAGATAGGCATTTTCTCTGCTTCACGTCATTTTCCTTAGATTCCAGACTGAATTCATCATCATTGTTAATTTAGAAAGTATAAGCAATTTCACAAATCATTACCATGCAGACTTCCTCATAGCAGTAGTGTTACTACTTTTAAAAAAAATTAATTCTGAATTGTCACGCTGGTCGAATAGGTGTTACCTGTGGAAGCTCAAAATCTAAGCATGTAACAGCAGACAAACACATAGAAGACACAGACCCATAGGATGACTGAGGTGTGAAAAATAACAGAAATTATGCCCTGGCTGTGTCCCCTCCCAACTTCTTGTGCCCCTCCAGCCTTCTTGCCGGATGGGCGTGAGAAGCTGAAAAATCGTGGACTTTAGACTGAACACTACTTAGCAACAACTGAAAACATCAGTGTTATCAACATTCTTCTCATACCAAACGCAAAAACATAGCTCCGTACCAGCTACTAGGAAGACAATTAACTCTATCCCAGCTGAAACCAGGACACTGGGTCTAGGGAGAAAGCTGTACCAGTTTTCTATATAAAATTGTCTTCCTTGATGCTCACATTCCTAGACACTTTCCATGCAGCCCACCTAGCTCAGCTGTTCCTCATCATTAGATATCACTAGAACATTTCAACCAACAGCAGCTCCCCTTTCTCCCCATAAACATATAAACAGATCAAAGGACCAGTTATGTCAGTGCATCTAGATCTTAAATAAATAAATACAATTTAAAAAAATATTTTAGGACCAAAGAACAAAAGGCTAGAATGAGCACACAAATAAAAAAATAAAATCCAGAAACTAACTTTCACCACACAACAAAAAAAACCAAGTCTAGCAACAATGGATTCTAGAAGCCTCTGCTCTCTAAAACTATCAGTTCTTATTTCTGGTGTCCAGATTTTGAGAGGAGAAAATAATGATTGCTTCTTTCTGCAAAGGTTGTCTAGGGCAAAGATTTTCTAAAGTTCCTTTAACAAGTCTGCAGCAGAAGTAATCACCTGAATAACCACCTGAAGCAGACCTGCCTAGTCTCCCAGTCCCTGATGGGCACGTAACTCAAGCTGTGTTTCATAAACCTGCTAAAAACCTTCAGGTGGTCGTGGGCAGTTCACAGAGCATAAGTGGCTCAAGACTAAATACCCCACTAGGAAAAACAGCTGCTTTTTTTAAAAAAACTTCTTTTATCTTTGAAAGACACTATGAAATAATCCCAGATAGATTGCACTGCAGACGTCTGAAAACAAAATACCAGAAGTGTGGATTATCATAGCAACATCTGTATCCAGTGAAAGAAATTGAAATACCTAAGTCAGAGGCATGCAGGAAACCACTTATAGCCGGTGTCTCAAGACTGGCTAGGGAGCAAAGGCATACTAGACAAGGTATGCTATACACATGCTTTCATTCTGGGTGATAAATAAACTTCACATCATATCTCCACATGATCGCCCAGAGCTTTTAAATTCATTGCTCCTTTATCAGGATGGGGCCAGTGAGCACATGGGATGAAATTTTGTGATGCTGCAATTCAAATCAAAAAGGCTTCAGATGCAAAACCGCTGATAGTAGTGTTGGCTGTTCATATTAACAGCCAGCCAGGAAATATTAGTCCAGGCTCTGTAAACCTAGTGGTAAAGATACAACCGTCCAACACAATCACCTGGAAAAAAAAACAAAAAAAAAGTCAGTGTATCCCTTGGCTTGGCCAAGTCTCTATGTAGAATATGTTTTTAAAGAACTTGCTCCTTACCAAGGCATAAATAATTGTGCTCACTCAGCAAGGTCAATATAAGACTGTGTCTTACTAGGAAGTAAAGAAAATTTCTGGATTTCGACAGTAGTCTCTTATCTAACACTTATTTCAAGATTCTAATTAGGTCCTGTAAGAAATGAGCAGGTGGAGTATTCCTGGACGTTCCTCATACAGACAAACTCTTTACCAGTTTAATAGAAAGAGGAGTATTACTGTTGCAGACGGAATATGAAGGAGACAAGTTCAGGACATACAAACACGGATAACTAATTTATAAACAAGTCTTTGCAAGGATGCCATTGGAACCCTGGCTACCAAGTTTACAACAGTGGTGATCATTACAGAAGAGTAAACTGCAATATCAAATACTTAGTTTAATAGGAGGTTAAACATAGGAAGACTGGCATAGTTACTTTGGTAATAACAGGCAATACCAGCTGGGCAGCTCAAGACTGGCCTTGGGTGATGAAGGAAGGGAACAGGCAGCACAAACAGCAGAGTAGAAGCAGCCATTGTTGAACTCTGCTATCAGGTGAGTGCAGTAGTCAAGTGTGATTATGATTTATCAATATTACTAGCAGGCTCAGCCATAGGCCAAGGTCTCGCTGTGCTCTGTGCTGTACAGACACAGGACAAAATGACAGATCCGTTAGAGAAATTTCCTTTTGATTTGCAATAGCAAATAACTCAGCCAGTGCTGTAAATAACAGAAAAATATAACAGCTCTAGGAGGGGTACCAAGCACACTGCAGGTCTAAAAAGCGGTAATTACACGGTGGACATTGAAGAACAACAGAACCCTATTAGTTGGCACATAACTAATCCACACAACCTATAATTTGCATGCAAAGCAAGGTGGTAGCCATTCTCTGTTTCTCAATAGGGGGTTAACAGCTAAGACAAAGCTGTA